TCAGATTTGCCTTGCTCACACTACTTTAGCCATGGTCACTGCATATCATTCCCTAGCAGCAAAGAAATTTGTGGGAGCCAGTTAGATACTGGAAGATAAATTACTAAATGGTTCATGAATTGTGAATTGTATGTCTCTGAAACACATCCATCCTGCGGCTTTCACTTCTTGCTAGAGCAAGATGCTAGGATGGATCTTGGTGTCCTAAAACAACTCTGTTCTGCCATTTAATTTGGCTGGTTCAGGAAACATGTGAGTCTGTCTCTGCTATGCTCATTCTACCCTCCATCTCCCTGATTTAGACTCAGTACAACTAGCAAGGCTGCTGACCACATGCCTCACCACAAAGTCTTCCTCAGCATGGGCAACACTACAGAAAAAACAAGGCACCATGCAGAGTTAGGATTTCGCTGTGCAATGTCCAGTGCCAGGTGCAGTGTGTTCACATCAGCCAGGATTTGAATTCACTGAATCTCAGGCCAAAACCCTGATTGCAAACCTGCCCCTCCTCTAACCACAGGCACTAGGATCACTAGGATTCATGCACAAGACTACAGCATCCTTGCAAGACACAGTTGCAACATATTTCTTTCCTTACCCAACCAAAATACTCAACTTCAATTACACTCCATAGCCACAAAAGAGATACTGAGAAAGGACATGATGAACAGCAGTTTGCACAGCAGGCTTGTTCCTGGTGATGTGTGGGTTACTTTTAAGGACAGTAACCTCTCCTGGTATCAGTTCTCTTAGGTTCTGTGATAGCTGAAGAGTGACATTTGTATCCTAGCACCCAGCCTCTGAAGAAAGTAATCCTCATTTGACCTGAAATGTGGAGCTGTATTCTTCAGTTGATCCTGTTGGAAATTCCAAGTAAAGGAATGTCTCACTGGGATTTCTGCATAACAAAGGCATGGGAGGACACCTCACACCCTCTGTGCAGGTTAGGAATACCGTGGGTTGGAGGGAACCATGACTCTTTTAACTTTGCATCATGCCTTTTTGTATCAAGAGATACCAAAGGTGATTCTAGAAGATACCACCTTAGCTGGTCTTCCTTGCAATATTGGCAGCCATATCCTCACCAAAAAAATTATAAAAGGAAAAAAAAGTGCTATTCACACAACTCTCTTTAGCACTGCTAGTTACAAGTAGGAGGTTCAATAGGGTCCTTAAGACCGGGGACATTTTTGTCATTTATACTAAGGTTTTGCCACTGCTGCAACATATGTGAGATATTTTCAGCCAGCTCCAAATGACTTGGTATATCTCCATGCCACAGGTCCCATTATCTCACAGCACCCTGTTAACATGGCTATACCATGCCCACTTCCAGAGGAGGCATTGCCACATGATCCTAAGCATACTAATTTGGCATTACGTGCAGTAAGGAGAGGGTCCTCTCTAAGGTGGCATTGCCTTGCTTAGTATAAATATGTATTTTGAACCTCATGTTTACTGATTTCATGACTTTTATATATAATATCTTGAGACAGTATCTTTCTCAGGCACATACTGTGCAGAAATCCTTCTCTTGGTATATCATAGAGCAGTGTCAGGGCTGTGAGACATCCAGTTAAGTATGAAACTGAAACTGGACCTGCGTCCCAGTGATTTCCCATCTTTTCCTCACAACTTCTGCATCTGTCACCCTAGTGCTTCCTCTCCCTCTCCCAGCCTCATATTCAATAGGGGATTAGGTTGTTCCCACCAGGTGTTAGCCAGAAAGAGCAGCTTTACATCCTAAGCTCCCCTCAACTTTGGATGAGTTTTTAGATCTGAACCTGGAGTCCAGTCCAAGTCTGTAGGTTGTGCCTATCTGAACATCTCCAGATAGCAATAGGCTCAAATCAGAGTCCAAATTCATTCTTTAGGGTGACTTCTACTTTTTAAAATGGAGTTGGTTAAAATCTTTTGAATTGTGAATATTTGGAAGACAAACACAACAGTGTTGCACAATGAAATTTTATTTATCTGTCTTTTTCAAGAGCTTGTCAAAATCTGAGCATGTAGATTGAAGTACAACTCAACCAAAAAAGTGTAAGAAATCATAACAAACACAGAATTCCTGTCATTCTTCATCATCTGATAACTTTGTTTCTAACATCAAGACTCTTGCGTAAGTGCTGAACAGTAGAACAATCCTCTACTGAATATTACATTGGAATGTTTTTGGTATCCTCTACAATGTGGTATGCAAATGTAAAATGAAATTTTAGAGAAGTTTAAAAAGGCAAAGATTAGTTTCTTAAATAATTTATTTGGAATATATTAGATGTTAAATAACTTCAGATAGCACAAAATGTGATCAGTTACACTGTATTTGTTCATGATCATACAAAACACAAAGAAACCTGACAAAAAAAATATCTTTGGTAGGTAGGTCTAGTGAAATACATGCTGAACATGAGAGTAGGGATCCCCTAAATGGAAAGGAGAACAAAGAAAGCACTGATATGAACCAAAGAAATAACAAGAAGGAAAGCTTTTTTGGATAGAAAATATAACAAGCATGTTATGTTACAAAATTGCCCGTTTTCTGTCCCCTTCCCTGGACAATAACTCTGCTCACAAGGTGTTTTGGCTTGCCTTGGTAATATATATTTCCTAGGATAGCAAGTGGCTGATAGACCAAATAGCACCACCACACCTCACCAATAAGTGCTCTGATTTACTTGGACTAATTCATCCTGCTGTAACTCCCAGCAAGTCAATAGAAACTTAGGAGGAGGACTTGGCTCATTAACTTTGAGGCACTGTGCAGAAGAGGCTGTGACTCCGTCAGTAACATTAAAGTGGGCAGAGGCAGGGAGAAAGTAGTACTGATTTCACAAACCATGCAGAAGACTCTTAATGCATTTCCACTCAGCTGCTCTCCAGTGCAGTCCTCAGCCCTGATAGCTCAGAAATGCAGCAATAAGCAAACTGAAGATTAACAGTGTTCAGAAACAAAATGAAATCACCATGAACACTTTAAGCTTTTTTTTTTTTTTTTTTTTGTCAAGATCTGTCCACTGGCACACTTGTACCTTACAGAACCAGCCCTGGATCTGGTGAGGTGTGTTCCTGTCAGACCTTGGTCTTTGTCAATGCACAGGACGGCCGAATACACACTTAGCAGGAGCCAGACCTGGCTTCTTGGTCCTCCTGGTGGTTGCTGAGGCTTTAAAAGGCAGCTCAGCTTTGGGTGCCAAATCCTCTCATGCAGAAGGGCTGTACATGTTACACGCATAAACCCTATCTCTGCTTCCTGAAGGCAGCTCATTGTCTCATGAATAAACAGACCAGGGACATGCCTTGGCACGTGGGAGCTCCATTTCTTCACCAGTGGTGAGTACATGTCTTTTCTAAGCATTGACATGTACCTTGGTCCACATGGAAATGAAAAGGACCTGTGTCCATGGGAGCAGGATCTGATCTATGCTTAAACCTGGTGTCACTTTTCCTGTTGCTCTAGGCAGCTTTGTAACTTGCATGAGCAGTCCACACCTTTGCTGGCACAGGTTGTAACTCAATCAGGAAATTAAATTGATTTGTGGGCAACAACTCACAATGGTCACATTCATGAAACCTCTTTTCATCCTGCTTATCATCTAAACACCTACCGCATGGTGGTTGGTGTTCCCTACAGGGAACTTACCCACTGAATCAAGTGGAAGACTTTTGCACCAATTTCTTTGTCCTTGCTCTATCAGCCCATTTGGGATGGTGTGCAGATGGAGGAACCTCAACTACAGCAGGCGAAAGCGGGGAGTTTAAAGACAGCCAGCTGGGTACACAGGCAGCACGCCCCTAGTCTTGCCCATGGTCTTGGTACCCCACCTGGGGCAGAGAAGAGTCCAGCTTCACACAGCCCGGCATCACAGCACCAGGGTCTTACAAGTGACAGCAAGGATGTGTGCAGCTCGGTTCTGCCTCCTGCCAAGGGCTGGTTCAGGAACTCGATGCCCAAGACCAGTGGCACACAGCCCTGTGCCGAAGGGACACTGTAGTGCACCAGTGATGCGTGTTCAACACCTTCTGCCAGGCCCAGACATGCTCCAGCTGCTTCTGCACCCTGGCACGGAAAGGGGCACTGCTCCCTGGCATTTCCATGAAGGTTTTCACACTGCATCTTTGAGGCCTTTCTCCTGGGACCTCCCTCCCAAAACAGGACCTCCCCCATTGCTACAGCTGTTGAAGAACAAAGACATTTAGCCACCAACCTGTTTGATGGGCTTCTAAGGCAGCTGGAGTGTAGCTGAACAGCTTCCTTCACATCCACACTGTCACTGCTGTGGGGGAGGTTTACTCTGCCTATTGAACCCACTGAAACTCATCTATGACTATGTCATCTTTTATTTTAAGTCGGCATTTTTGCTTTAACCTAATGTTTTATTTTGTTTAATAGCGTTTTGCTCTGACACTAGGGATCCCTCCAGTCTGATGGAGAAAGATGTAGCAAGATTCAAGGGCTAGGACTTGTACTTTCAAAAAAAGAATCAAGCTGGAAATAAGATTCACAGGCTCAAGAGTGAGTGCAATTAGCTCCTGGAACCACTGGTGCAGGACTGTGGCAAATATCACATCTCCCAAAAACTTTCACTACAAAGGCCAGATGTCTGTCTGGGATAAATTTTGTGGTGCAGTGATCATTCTTGAGCTCAGTAGTGTTTCCTTGAAATAGCATGGGAGAATAATCTGTTTCCCTGCCAGAAACACTGGATGAATTTCTATAGCCTGACTTATGGAGGAGATCAAGGCAAAAGGCCCTTCTGGCTTGGACTCTGCTGTGACAGCAGTGAGTCCTTCCAAGTTCCCAGTGGCTGCAAATTCTCTGTCTGGTTCTCCAGGTTGTTGGCTGACCAAGGATTTCCTTTGCTATTAAATAAAAATGTATACCAAATGAAACAGTAATAAATATAAATAAATAAACACAATACATAGAGGAGCAACCCACGGATTCTGCAAAAAGAGGGGGACTATCAGACTAACACCAAGACTGCACATCTCATTGTCTGCTAGGGAGATGATGTCTCTGACCAACACTCTACTATATTGCTGCTCATACCAGGAGAGGAGACACCACAGTTTTCAATCAGTGTCAGCTCCTCCATGCTTTGCAAACGTGGGGCTTGCTGGAAGAACCCCAGGATGCTGCCCCGTGCTGCCACTGCCGTCTGCTGCAGGCCTGGCTCTCCCAGGACCTTGACAAGGAAGTTGATATACCTCATAGCTAACCGGAGTGTCTCGTTCTTGCTCAGTTTTTTGTCTGGTGGGTGGGTGGGAATGAGTTTCCTCAGCTTGGCAAAGGCGCTGTTCACATTTTGCTGCCTCCATCGCTCCCTGGTGTTGGTGAAGATCTTCCTTGTCATTCTCAAGCTGCTGCAAACCAAAGAAGATGGTGAGTGAATGCTAGATACCCCTGGCTTTCACGCACACTGCTGCTCTGGGGGCACTGTAACCTCTGGCCCAGCAGCGAGCACACAGTGCTGGTGCTAGGCATTTCTAATTTTTGCCCTCTGTGGCTGATGCCCTTGTCCTGCATGTCCTGCACAGATCCCTGAAGTCAGGTCCCCATTCACAGCCATGATCATAAGCATTGCAGCTGTAACCAGATGCCAGAGTCCAGTAAGGACTTCACAAAGGAGTAAATGGAGTTTAATTTCTTCATACAACCGTTTGGTACTGCTATGAGCCCAGCTTCTCCAGGCTCCTGAGAGTTCCCCTGCAGCAGAATTCCCAACAGCCAATGCATTAGTCATCCCACCAGGCTTTGCAAGGGACACCCAGGCACCTTTTACGGGGGAAGGTAGGCAGGCCCAAGGCAGAACACATCCATGCTTTCCCAGCCCCAGTTCCCACCTTGGGGGCTGCTCCCAGCTGGCCCAAGCTTGGTGACTCATGGCTGGAGCTAAGCCAGGTGGACCTCCATCATGGGTCTTCAGTGAGCAGACAGCCAACACTGCAGACCTGCATGATTATGGTTATTTCAGGAGACTTCTCCAGGGAAGCGACAGTCTGGTTCGCTGCCCAGCCCACACTGACTGCTCACTTGCTGGTGGCAGAGACTCTTTAGTCTGATCCATTCAGGCTTCTGCTTTAGCCTCTGAGAGCTGCCAAGACTAAGCCACAAGTGCCATGACTGCAGGCTGCAGAGGGAAAGTGTGATTCCTACAAACTGTGCAGGCATCCCAGCCAAAATGTCTGCGTAGGTGTTACCTGTTCACCCTGCCTCACAGAGCTGGGCAGCAAAGGGAACCCACTGCCCAGAGCAGACCTGGCAACAGAAGAGTGCTGTGCAAGGGGTGCACAGTAATTTTAAATGCCATTTACCAGAAGGGTGGTCAAAAGCTCTTGGGGTTGCCCTAACCCTTCTCCCACTGCCACTGGAAAGATTCTTCCCTTCTCTCCTACAGCCATGCAGGAGACACTCACTTCTTCATTTCTTAAGTTGCTTTTTATGCCAATGACACACAGACGGTTGGAGCAGGGAAAAACTATCCACAGCCAAGAGACTAAAGGACAAATGTTTCCACTTACCCTCTCATGCATGTGAAAACCTCAGCTTTTTATATTCATTGGCTAACCCATCCTTTCACCAGTCCCACAGGAGACTGGGGAGCAGAGGAGATAGCACCCTTCACCCCCAGAAAGAGCAAACTTTGGGGTGACAGCTCAGCTGTGATCCCGTGTCCATGTGAAGCAGCCTCATACCATGCAAGACACTCAGGGTTCACCTAAGTAGGTGGTAATAGTTGGGGTGAATAAAGAAATCCCACTGTGACTCAGAGGTTAATTGGGGTGCCCTGGCAGGGAGACAAGACGTGCATGGCAGACAGTGAAGTTCCCTCCCAGCTCCAAATCCCAGTCCAGCACTGATTACAAATCACAAGGGAAACACAGTTACACCGTCATAAATTATGTCAGAGCCATGTTCAGAGACCTCGGTCAGAGGTACAGCTAATACAGATGCGCCCATGTATACTATATATGGCTACGCTCATGCCACCCATACCTTGCAGGCTCCTCTTGGCCGTAGCCTTTACAGAGCTAACACATTTCTATTTCGGTAGAAGTCTGAAATTACTGTCAGGGCCAGCTGTCTACTCTGCCTTTAGGTGATGAGAAAATTGTCTCATCAAAATGTCTTTGCTTCACAAGTGGCTTATTTAAAAAACAAACCCTCATATTTCAGGTTGCTGATAGTTTTTCATATTTTTTGTAGACTTACATTGAGACCCACTGCTTGATTTGAATGGGGATTGTATCTTTTTTTTTATTATTATTATTCTCCTACTGCATGTATTACTTTTGGTTTGTGCTATCGGAACAAATCTACTTGGTACTTTGCACCTACCTGAAACAGCTAGCATGTTTGGCAAGAACACTGCCACAACGGTAATATGGATTTTAAATGCTGTCTTCCAGTGCTCCTCTGTACTGCAGCACATTCACTCCCCAAGGCAAAGTTTTTGCCTTTACAGTTTTATTCTTCCAAGCAGCTGCTTGGATCTATGTGAAATTCAGAGTGCCACCTGCTTCTTTCTCTCTCTCTTCTGTTTTTGGTGTTTGTTTGTTTGGGTTTTTTAGAAGAAATATTTATCCATGTACCAAGGCAGTTATTTTTTATAACATAGGGAAAGTTATTTGGGCTTTCTTGTTTCATCTAATGGGTTGGGTGGATTGTATTTTGCCAGGCCTTTCAGTTTCTGCACTGTAATCCTGGCATGTGGGTCTGGGTTTGCTGGATGCCTGTTCACATCTCAGCTACAAATACCAGCAGAAGTTCTGCTCCTTCTCTTTCTCCTGCTGCAGACAGCCCCCAGTGCAGCACTCCAGGAAAGCAGGTTAGCATTCATCCCTGGCGCTGTGAACATGTCATCTTGTCCTGTTAGCGGTATTATTGGTGGAAAAATAACCGCAGCCTACTCCTTCACACCATGCTTTCTTTGTCTCTCTTCTCTTGCCTTTGGAAAGGACAATACTACATTTGTGGTCACAAGCCTTATCAGCAAACAGATGCCTTTATGAGACCAGCTCCTGCTTTACACTTCAAAAACATGTGTTTGTATTTCTGACATTTATTCAAGATCAGCAAACAACAGCTCCTTCTCTCTCCCAGTGCCTCCTCTTGCGCTGTTAGCTCTATAGGGAGCTTCATTTCAGGTGTAATCCACCTCTGTACATCTCTCCACCTTAAATTCCTCTCTCCTTTTTCCCTTTACTGGTGAGGGTTTCCTGTTTCAGCTAGAAACATAAGAAAAAAAGAAGCCTGGTCCAACCCTGCAGTAACTGTAATGTTTCAGCACAGCTTTTTTTCTTGTATCATCACCTACACATCCTTCGAGTTCTCTGTAACCACAGCACCTTCCAGTTAAAATGCAGCCAGTTAACTGACAAGGCATCTGATTTCCATTCCTTTTGCCACATTCCCTTCCTCCTGTTCCCTCCTTTTCCCCAGCCCTCCCCACCAAGCTTGTCTTTCAATATGATATTATTTGCAGCTTCAGGTCTTTGCTAATGTTGCACATCTGAGCAATGTATTCTTTAGCTTTCTCTGGTGCACTGTATAAACTATGTATTGTCTAGAGGCTGTGTGCATAAATCACCTGTTTGTACATATCACGGACAGATAAATTGCATTAACCTGCAAGCCTGGATTCTGTGGTTTCTGGTCACCTTCCCTCACCACAGGTTAATAGCTCCACATTTAGCTGACAATAAAGAAACCCAGGAATACAGCAGCTTAATTTCAAGAGGATTAATTCTACTCTCATGAATGTGAATCTGGAAGGTTACACCATTTTCACTGGAGGAATTACTCTGAAGGGCAAAATGTTGCCACTGAGAACAGGATTCAACTCAGATCAAGAAGACACATCCAGAAGTAGTAGGTAAGTGCAGTTTTATCAGCTAACATCCACATCTGCAGCGTGTAAAGCGAATTGTGCAAAGAAATAACCCCAGTCCAGCAGTGAATCTGCTCCAACAGCCAGAAAGAGAAAAATAAAACACCACCACCCACCAAACAGACAACTGAAGCTCTTTCCACCCCCCTGCCTACCCCTTTGAAAAATATAAAAATAGGGAGGGAAAAAATACTGGCTGTGGCTTATGCAGCCGCAAGTGTCACCAGACAAAAGACTAAACACTACAAAAGATGAAGATCTCTCCCTTGGTAGCAGCAGTTCTCACAGCCTCTCTATGCAAAAGCTATTCCAGCAATTCAAGCAGCAGCAGCACAGCAGCTTAGGCACAAAGCACCATCTCTGCTAGGGCATTCCCCAGCAAATGGCCCCCAAGTCAGCGGTTAATGTCTCAGGGCTGGCAGGGGACTCACCAGGAGCCCAGCACTCAGTCATAATTAGCAGACTGCTATTAAATAAAGATCTTGGATGAGAAAGTTCCTCCCTCAAGTTATACCTTTGACCTCAGTGAAGTTAAATCCATGTTGAAACTGGCCACTGGAGACCTACTCCTGCAAATCTTAATCAGACAGCAGATGCCTGCTGCCAGCAAGAATTGGAGTGCTTGTAGTAAACCTGCAGTGCCATACTGTTACTCCATAGGGGAAACCTAGTGCCTGCTAAAATTGGTTATTTAACACATTGCATTGGATTTTGTGAAGTCCCCTCAGCCCTTGAGTAAATGGCAACAGAAGAGCAGATGGTGCCTGTTTCCTGTATCAGGAAGGTTCTCGTGAGCCTGGTCTACCACAGGGAGCAAAGATTCCCCAGCTATCACTCCTTGCTGCTGTGCTTTGTTCACTTTGCATCAGTGTGATCTGGAGAAAAGGAGAAAGAAGCAGCTCATTGTTTCCCTCTTCAGTTTCATGCGAGTCTCAGCATGGGACTTGGCTCCATGCAGAGGGGAAGATTGAGCATGGATGTCACAAGGCATTACACTGCCTGTCCATAACATGTGACTTTTTCTTTTCCCCCACCCCCTAGGAGGAATAAGCTCAAACTTTCTGCAGCTGAACCATGCTCTGTTTGCTGCATGGTTGCTTGGATTCCAAGGACTTCCTTTGGGTTGGGAGAGGAAGGAAGAAGAGAGGGGACAATGCACCCCAGTTTGGCGGCTTGCAAGAGGAGCAGCACATCTTTAGGTACAGGCTCTTCCCTCCCAGCCTTCCTCAGCCCCCTCTCTCCATCACCACCTCCCTGTATCTCAGCACTATACACCCTCCCCAAGTGCCTCCCACCTGAAATCCCATTGGTGTGCTGGTGGACAAGGACACAGAGAGCACAGTGCAGTGAGCTGAACGGTTGGCTGGCAATCAGGGAGTTGAACCTCTGTCCTTGTTTCTGCTATTCCTTTGCCTCAGGCAAATTCCTTTTTTTTGCTGCACTTCTGTGTCCCTCCTACCTGTAATTAGTGTGTCTCTGCCGCAAGGTTGGTGGAAAGAAAAACATTTGTGTGTGTGTGTGTGTGTTTGTTTTAGAGCAGCCACCAGCACATGGTGGTCCAGCCTTGCTTGGCATTGGTAGGTGCTGCGTTTGTGTAGTTAAAGAGAAGAGCCTCTCCCAGCTCTCACAGGGTGATTCCTAACACCAGCAGTGAACTTCATTTTATTTCAAATAAGATGTGGGAAGAGGAGCTACTTCAGGAGTAAACAAGGGCTCCTTTCACTGCCTCACGCCTCTGTTGGGAGTGTTATCTGACAATCATACCACAGTACAAAGTACAGCAGAGCAGCAAAAGCACTGTAAAAACCGGTCAGTGCTGACAGACTGATTTACCTTTTTTAGAGTCTGTAAATCTAGGATAAAATGCACATAGCGGAATCTCTGCTTCTGGGCACCTTCCTGTCTAAGGGCAGCGTTTACAGAAACTCTCACAGCTACACTGTGCTCTCGTTGAACCTTTAGAAAAAAGGAAATCGCTGGAGTCTTCAAAAGCAACTGTGTAAAGGTCTCAAGCTTAAGTCAGCCTTCATGTTTGGGGATACTAGTCTGTATGTGATCACAGTTTCAAAAGGCAAGTTTTTCGCCTGACCCAGTGTTGCCCCTGGGTTGCTTAGCTTTGTATTCCAGTTGCCCTCCTACAGGGTGCAGATCTTCAGCAGGGGGGAGAGACCTCGCTGCTCTCTGAGAAATCAGCCTAGCCTGCAGACTTCTTAACCTGGACACCCTGGCATTGTGTCCCCCATGGCTGCCTCAGGAAATGTAGGTCTGTAAAGCAATGGGCTGCCACCCAGCACGCTTTTGGGAGAGCACAAAATGCGTGGTTAAGAACGTACCAATAGTGATGAAGAGGTTTATTCAAGGAAAAGTTTATTCTGCACATGGGGGTGGTTTTGGTGGGTTTTTTTTTTCCTGTGGCTCACCTCTTGTCAATGCTTTTTATGTTCCTTTGCAGTAAAGTTGAATTATACCACAGCTCTGCGCAAAACAAAGAACCCTTTGCTGTAACAGCTTTTGCTAAATAGAAGTCTAGTGTATTGGCATGGACATGACAGCTGGCAAAGCTGAGAAAGGAACACTCTGCCAGGAGGTTTAGCCTTTATTTGCTAAACTTGCACTTGTGTTATTTTCTGTTCAAGAAGATCTGAGAGTCTTTCTTGGAAAAGTGCTTCTCTGTCCTCCTGGACATCTCTCCAGTAAGGCCCTCTTGTGTCAAAGTCTGAACTACAATTCCAGTGGGTTTCCTTTAAAAACAAGTCTCTGCCAAATTAACTTCCCAAGTACTACATACAGACACTATCCCTGTGGTTCAAGGTTAACACAGACAAGAAAAGCAGCTCGGTGGTCTTCCGGGAGTTCTTCAGGGACTCATTTTTTCCAGACCCAGTGTGCAAACCCCTGTTCCACACAGATATTTGCTCCCACCTCGTTAGAGCACTCATTCCTGCATGCCTCTCTCTGCACCTGCCACTACGAGGCAGTAAGGCAGCTGTTAATAGCAGGAACAGGTCCATTTGCTTTAACTTCTTTGCCTTGCCTGCATATGTAGGAAAGGCAGCACCAGATGCTGCATTTCTTACAACTCAGCAAAGACCGGTCTGCAGCAGCTCACGCTGCTACAGGAGCTGTTAGGAGCAGAGAAGGGAAAATGCACTGCTGTAAGGGACATTTGCATCAGGGGGAAGTTAGATCTTGTATTATGTTTGGTTATGGCCCCCAGAGAATATTTGCTTTTGCATTTTGTCCAGGTCTGCTCTGAGGCTGATAGCAAATCTCTCTGTGACTTCAGCAAAAGCAAGACTGAAAGTTTGACAGCATCCTGATAGCAGCATGCAGTGCCCTGTCTTCCTACCAAACACAAGTTAAAACCAGTCTACTGACCACCATGACATCACCCCAGGAATTAATTGGGTCTACTATGTGTAAGACTAGAGGTCACCATAAGCACAGAGAAACATAACCACCAGGGCAAATTGTAACTTCCAAAAAAGTGATACAAACCACTGCAAGACAAGGACCACAATCCTGTTTTCCCCTAAATGTCACACTGGTAACCTCCATGGGGCTACGCCTGATAGAAGGATCAGCATGAAGATCATCCTTGCCTCAACCACACTCTGGTGGGCACCTGCCTTTAGTCCCCAAGCCTCCTACCTGGCACACTGACTCTGTGAGCACTTAATTTCTTGGATCAGCTGCTCATATCACAACTACTTCAGTGATTTATGTAAACAGGCAGTAAAAACAAGCTGCATTTATTTTAGTTACTTTTTGTGAAATGATATAGAAATGCATGGTGGAAAAAGATTCTAAAAATCAAGTGTCATCCTATACTGTTATATGGAAATCAGAAAGGATAGAGACAGCTACTTCAGAAAAATGCTTGTGTTATTGTTTATTAACTTTCTCAGGCAAGTACAGCTTTATGCAGAAGGCTACCCCTGGAAATATACACATGTTCTAGATTGGCAGTTTCTAAAGCTTTTTACAAATCTGAGAGTTATTAATATTTACTGGCAGAAATGAAAGAATAAAATTGCTAAACTTTTCCTCCTAAGTGAACTATTGAACTGATCAAAATTCAAATGCTGCCTATGTATTTTACATATGCATCAGCTGTAAGACAGATGACCAATAAAGTAGTGGGGATATTTTTAAATATGTAAGGATTGGAATTTAAAACTGTTTCTTTACATCTTTACCTGTTGACACTGTCATAGGATTTCCACACAGTCTAGTGAATAAACATACAGTAAAGTCTGATGAATGCATGATTATCTGTGCTTTTGCAGATAATTTGTTTTAAATATCAAACACCATTGGAGAATTCTGTTAAGTTTTAGTTCTAAACTCAGAGAGTCTGTGATGCTTTGTGCAATCATTTTGCACGAGTGCAATAACTCTGATTTACAGCACTTTGCAGTAGTATAAATGAGTTTACCTAGTGTGTAATTATACAGTTATGATGTAAAATAGTAGGAACAGTGATTTTAAAATCATATTAGTTTGCTCCACATCTAAGCATCAACATTTCTTTCAAAAGTACTAAAACCAATTAATAATTTCTCCTGGCAGGAGGTCTGATTCACTGGGTCTCTGCAGATACTAAGAATTTGAAAAGTCCAGGCACAAAAATAGGGCAACATGGTTATTCTCTTGATTAAATGCAGCCACCTGTAAGTGGCCTTTTCTGTAACTATTCTGTTTGTCAGATCAGGTGCCTTACTCTTAACTTTTTGATGACAAGATCCAGAGGTGCCATGATAAGAAATAAAAATCCAGTGGATGGTAAAAGGCTATTGCAGAAATTCCTTCTTTTAAGTATATTCCCTGCTGTGAGAGGAAACTTCAGCATTCCTAAGAAAGTTGCAGGATAAGCCCAAAAGAGGGGAGGCAACACTGTAAAGACAAGAGGCTGTTGTCACTTACTTTTCTGGTCACAGGTGCTTGTGGCTCTTGATGCCTGGTCAGCGTGCGAACAGACAGCAAAATCGGACGCTTCCTATTTTTCTCTTCCGACTGCGCTCGCAGTGCCTGGCCTCAGAGCTTGCTCTCACTGGAGTCAGCCTAGCACTGGTCCTGGCTGCCTCATTTATAGAGTAGCAGGTCCTTTGTCTGGCGCGTGTCACCACTAGTCCTAGCAATCCAGGGAGCTTGTTTTGCATCTCCCAGGAGATTCTCTCTATCCTGCCTTTTCTCACCACATGCCCTCTGCCCTTTTCTGGGGCTGGTATGGGGTGGTAGCTGAGACCGTGCGTACTGGCCTTAGAGTGACTCCAGCTAAGTCAGGTGCACTTTGTTGGAAAGGATGGAAGCTGCTCATGGCAAGAATCAAATTTTTTCTCTTTTTTTTAACTTGTTGGGGGGGGAGGGGGGATTTTTTTTTTAAATTTATTTAGTCAGCTCTGAGCTTGTAAATGTTTCCAGAGACAGAGATGCAGTGCTCATTCAAAAGCTAGCTTTAACATGACACAGTACTGAGGAACAGGCTGGTGTATTTATTGTATTCCTAAGCAGGAGATTCCCTCTCTGCTCTGACAGTAAGCGCAGTGAGGTTGTGGGGGTGACGATGTGCAGGCAAATTGATCCTGCACTAACTTTTTGGGGGAAAACTCCTTTTCACTTAGAGTCATGGGTAGTACCTCCTGCATCCCAGAGGACAGCTACAGCTGCTGCAATCTCAGCTCTGCCCCAAGCCCCACGCTGGCCCTCTGCCCGAGTCCGCGTGACAACAAGAGACTGCAGGTGTGAATTCACATATTACCAGCTTGCCCTTCACTTTGGGGCCCACACAGTGCACTAAGGGTAGGTTTAGTTCATGCTTTTACAGCAAAGATGAGCCAGCTCTGCACCCCTGTGGCTAGGATGCAGGATTGGTGAAACAGAGACTTCTTCACTGCTGGGGTGGCTGCCTTTTCCCTGGCTTCTCCATTTGGTGCTAGGAGTTTGCTTTGGGTGAAGATAAGAGTAAATAGGGAGAACAAGAGCAGGATATCTACTTATGCACTGGGAACAACAGGATACTAAAGAGAAAAAAAGGATGGGGAAGAAGCCCCAGCTAATCACTCCGTTACAGTTATGGGGGAGGAAAACATCTGCATCCAGGATAAGGCAGCTTCAAGCACACTCCACTTCTTTCCTCCGCCAAGCCCCAAGAAAGCTCAGCTCTTTACCCAGACCACCTCACCCAAACCAGCAATCTGGCTAGGTAGGGCTCACCTACCAGGCTTTTAAAAGCACTGCAAATGTTTCAGTTAACAGGATTGCCCCCATAAATATTAGCAACCCAGCAGTGGAATGATGTGGTTGCTCTCCGGAGAGAATGAGCCCCACGTCCCTGGCAGGGCAAGTCGTTCCCCACAGAGCTCAACTAAAGGTTCAGCCCTTTGACACGGTAAATTAACAGTGGCACTACAGCCTGAAAGCTGTGTCAACCGCTTCATTTAGCACAAGTGTTATGTTAACTAAAGGCCCTATTCCGGAGGGGCCTTTGGCCTCACAGAAGCCTAATTTCCATGTAATTTACATTGGAAAGTTGCAGAGTGCCCCTCCTCTCTGTTACTTCCTCCAACCCATTATTTACCCAAAATCTGCCCTGAGATGCTCCAGCCAGCATGCAATGTAGGGAAGGGGGCTTGCCAGTCCAGAAAGGGGTGGGAGATGTAGCTCTTTATCCCTAACTGCTTGGATACTTCACTGCCTAGAGCTTTCAAAACCTGGCCAGACAAAGCACTGTAAAATATACAGCCAGGAAAGTGTCTGTCCTTGCAGGGAGAGAGGCTGGATGGGCTGCTATTATTAATTCTCACTCATGTGTCCATGCAAGAGAGCTGGATCCTGCTCCTGTTGCTGTCAGGTATGTGCCCTCTCCAGAGGCAGGCTCATGGCGAGAAACCTGCCTCACCGGGGAAATAGGAGGAGAAAAAGGGACATCGTAGCCCCCTCCCATGTATTTCAGAAAAGCCACCTCCACATCTGTTTAGTGTTTCAGTCACATCCCAAGGTCTCCTTGTCTCTCTCCTGTTTTATGAGGGAACTAGTCCTTCCGAGCACCTCTGTGGCAGCCCATCTGAGGCTGCGCAACCCACAGCACCCAGGAGGTCCTGACCTTCCCCTTGCTCTCCTGATCCCCACTGTCCCCTGGAACCCTGCAGCCCCAACTTCTTTTCTCCTCTGAGAGGCCACCGCAGCAAAGCTCTGCATCTGCTGCAATCACAGTGGACCTTTCTCCTGCACTGCTGGGACACGCCATGACCCACTGTCAGACCCTGGGCAGGAGGTCCCAGGTGCCGAGCTGGCATTGATGTCAAGTCATTGCAAATGCTGATGAGATGGCATGGGCACGCTGACTTTTATGCCAACTTTAAGGGTCTTTTCCACCCTGTCAGATGGCTCTAAAGGGGTCATACATGAGGGTCTGCTTCACTGTCTCTTTATTAAGCTTCCTATTGAACTGTGATTACTTGGCAAAAATGAACCACACCAGTCTCATTCAGCTTGCTCTCCATGCTTGGCAGTGACATGGCAGTAAGGGGAATACATTTTTTTTGTCCTGGGATTACTTTTCCCTAGAGCAACCCATAGTTGCCAGGATAGTATAGCTCAGCCAGGGGCAAGGAGAGGGGAACAAGAGTGGAGAAAGCAATCCTGGGCATGCTCTGCCTCACAAAAATTTCTGCTGGGATCCATCCTGACAGTTTCCTATCACCGGTTCATGAAAAGTCAAGGAGAAACAATATATTTTGTAACTTGCAGTCCGCCTCCAGACTGCAGTTGATATGAGCATGTTTGCTGTATAATGGTGACACTTTCCCTCCTCAGATAATTCTCTCAGAAAGTGGAGCCCCAGTGCCCTTACAGCACCAACAAGGAAAGGAGAGTGGGGAACACTGTGTGTGCAAGCGTTGTAACTAGGGACATACAGCTATTGTGTCTGCAGATGCAGAAACCACTGATTTATTGCAGCAGTGCTGGCGGGCCCTCTGAAGTGCAGACCCACTCTGCCAGGCAGGCACACATTCTTCCTAGCAGAGAGGCATTCCTTGGCAAGTTTGATGAAACAAAAACAGGGAGAGAAAAGAAAATGTAGTCTCAGCCCTCTCGTGGGTAAGAACTGAGGTTGAAGAGGAGAACAGGTATGGACCACCTCTGGAGGACACTTTTTCCCCATTTCTGCTATCATGCCCAGCCTGTCCAGAGGCACCAGAGGCAATGCTGAACTCACATTTAGTGCACTCACTTTCTGAAGAACCACACTTCAGTCAGCTCATCAGCTTGCCTCAGCACCACAGATACTGGTAACAGTTAGACCTGGATGAAGCAACAGACGCCCTGCATTGGCAGTCATTTATGCAACAGCATTTACATGTGTGGCTCTGCAAAGTGGAAGATGTGAGAGCTGGCCACTCTGAAGAAGTCAAGAACGTGTGGGTGGTTGCAAAGTGTCAATGTCCTCAAAACTGGGTTTCTCATGTCCCTTTTTGAAATCTGGCATGCCAGCATTTAAATTCCAGACCCTGAAACATCCTAGGGGAGTAACCCTAGTTATTTCTCTTTCTAAAAGGGAGAAAATCTGTTCCTGGCATATGTGACTTGTGTGGTATGCAAGCAGGAGCAAAAGGCTTTATTCTGCTGCTACACAGGTTCCAGGGCCAACAGAAGCCTCTCCAAGATAGAGTAGTGGTCAGATGGGAAAAAAAAAGTTTGTGTTTCACACTGGGCCAGATGTCAAACCCTGTCTTTCTCAAGCAAAACTCTTACTGCAGATGAGCAGGAAATCAAAGAGAATCCTGCCTAAATATGGGCAGAGATTTCAGAAGATGGGCGTGGGTTCAAATTATTTTTCCCCGTTTGTGGGGTGACCCCTTTCCATCTGATGAAAGCAGCACACAGAAAGTGATGGACAGAAAAAGGACAGCAAGAGGCTGCAAACACACAGCCACATTATCACTGTGAGTTGAGAGCCATGCTCTACAGATGGGAACAATAAGAAGCAATTATACACATCTGGGCTCCTGCCCTTTAAAATCAAAATTTAGATCAATAGATTTTGAACATAGCAAGCTGGAGGAGGCTGCTTGAGGTTCAGAACAGCAGCTGCATGCAGACTGCTGAAATATTAAACTTCCATCATCTGAAGCTTTTTGTAACGTTTTGAATCTCTTATTAGTGTTAACAAAACACTCACATCAGGGGGTGCTTTAAATTCTGGCCACACTTTTTGGCTTAATTCCAGAAGCCAAAAAATCTTCTCCTTTTTAATGCTGAAACTTGCTGATAGCCTTGAAGAAAATGTTTAGCCACAGAAAACCTAATGTTTCTGTAAACCTTCCACTGGGAGCGAGAGAGACAAGCAGCTCATTTTCCCTTTTACACAGACCTACCTAGATGTTAAAAGTTCTTTGGAAATCACCTAAAACAGAGAAATACAAGCCAGTCATCTCAGAGAAGCAGCAGCTGCCACGTTCTCTGTCACACAATGCTAAGCTCAGCCAGGTTGCATGCAGCGATAAGGCCACCAAATAAGTATCACTCAAAGCAGGGATTCAAAGAAATATGGAGACTTGAATATAAGAAAACCTTCCTGGCCAGATTATAAGCCCTGAAGTATCTTTGCCATAGATGTGTTTGCGCCTTCTTACAACAGTCTCTTAACTAATGACAAAAAGTAGGAACCGAGAGATTTAATTTCCAGTATGACTTCAAGCAAAACACTCAACCCCGAGCCATGTGTATTCCATGTGTTGGGAGTCGCCAGGCTTTTGCACAGTCTGGCAAGTTCTCTTTCTTCATATGCAAGTCTTTGAAACCATGTGGCTTGCCCTTTGAGGTGAGCTCTTGCAAGGAACAAGGGAATTTGCTCTGAATCTCCCTAACATCTCTTAGTGCAGGTTGTTGCTTGGGAATGGCTGAGGTTGAAATCCTTGAAAGAGAGGTCCCATATATGGTGCTTGAGACTGTTCCACTTGCAGGACCAGCAGTGCATGTGTGTGCAAAGGGAAACGCCAAGAAACCCAGCCTCTCAGGAGTTCATTATGATGACGTAGTCTGTTTCACATAGA